TGACACAGCAGCAAGAATAGATTTGCAAGCTAAAAGAGATGAGTCCTTTAAAACTTGGCAAGCAAAGATTGTCTTAACAATTGGGACAGTGCTAACCTTCGTCGTATTGGGTGTTGTAGTGTTTGTTATAATTAAGAAAATTAATGAAGACGTTTTATTTCGACAATTTTCGATTGCTACTTATGATATGCAAAGTGAGGACGCTGAAAAAGTTGTGAGAGAAATGTAGACAAAAATTACTTCTGTTACAGGACAGAACTCTTAAACGGAATGCATTCGTTTCCATTTTTATATAAGTACTTTATATAATGAAAAGATTTTTACTGATTTATGCATATTTCTTTCTAAAATGAAAAAAAAAATCTTGTTTCTAAAACTGCATATCTTTTAATTCAACCAAAGGATCATTATAAATTAGAAATCATCAAACAATAGTTTATAGCTGAAAATATTCACTAATTTAACATTTGCACTTTTTAAGATATCATGTGCCTTTTCAATGCTGTTTTTCAAGTAACAATTTTATATAAATATTGGAATTTTAAAGAACACAATAAAGTTTATTGTAAGATATTTTCTTGCTTTTTATTGAAATACAGGTAACATAGGTCACCAGCAGCATCCTATATTTCAAAACTCGTCTCTGCTATTTTGTAAGCATAAAGTTATGCTGTACTTGATTGTTATGAGAAATTGTCAGAAATAATGTTAATTTCTTTTTAACCCTTAGATACAACACCATTGAAATTCGTCAGGGGTTATGTTAATTTCTCTTTAACCCGCAGACACAACTCCACTGAAAATTGTCAGGGGTTATGTTAATTTCTCTTTAACCCTTAGACACAACTCCACTGAAAATTGTCATGGGTTATGTTAATTTCTCTTCAACCCTTAGATACAACTCCATTGAAAGTTGTCATGGGTTATGTTGATTTTTCTTCAGCTCTTAGATACAAAGCCATTGAAAATTGTCAGGGGTTATGTTAATTTCTCTTTAACCCGCAGACACAACTCCACTGAAAATTGTCAGTAAAAATGTTAATTCCTATTTAACTCCATTGTTATCCTGAGTCGAAACCGCATCCATGGGTTCTTCCGCATCCATCTTGCTTAAATTCATCTTGCTTAAAGAACTATATACGGTAAGGGCGTATTCCTGCCCCCATAATAGTCAAATTTTGAAAATCTCTTGAAATGAGAAAAAGTGCATATATTGTATAAAATAATCCAAATTAAGACAATATATTATGAAATTGGAAAAATTAGTTGGCTTTTCTTGTCTCTGTGACGTCACAAACTATTTGGATTTCCGTTATTTTTAAAATAGAGGCCAAAATGCACAGAGTTTGTTCAAATTTGACTATAGTATTTATAGAGCGCAAGTCTGCTCAGGTACCATATTCACATATTTCATTGATATTATCATTCTACACATTATATCAAAAGATCTAGTCTGAGCAGACCTGCGCTCGGTAATTTCCAATCAAAATACCGACGTAAAATACGCTATTTTCTCTCAAAATCATTGCAATTTGGAATACGTCATTTTATTGACGTCATATCTAACTAATGATGTCATAGTTGATAAAAATACTTAATGCTTTGAAGTCTGCAAATATCCACCTGGTTTAGAACATAATTAAAGACTTCTCCATCAAAGTTTTATTTTGGGGGCAGATACTTGCCACTAAAGAATATAGTCATTTGAGAATTTATCTGAAATAAATGAGGGAATCTACTTTCTAGACTTTTATTCCATACTTACCAAGTTCTAATTTGCCAATACATATAAAATTCCACATTTACTCAGAACTGCATAAGTTGATCATCAATGGTCAAGTAACTTCCTGGTTTAGATTGGAAAAGTATTGAATTCACCTCCCAATAAACGTATAGTTTCTATTATTACAAAGTAAACATTTCATTTCGCTCTCTCTCTCTATTTATTGCTCCTTTTAAGACAACAAACAGATAAACAAAGAACAAGATGAAATGGCTAATCTATATGATTTAGGCCCAACATTCCTTCGTTAATACTAATTATTATGGCTTAACTCTATTTTTATTTCACAATGGTTTTTACAATGCACAAAATAACTCTGTATTTTTTATATATATATATAAATTAATAAATAATAAATCCACAAAATCACATTGTGTTGTCTGAAAGTCTAAGCTTGAACATGATTCGACTAACATGGTGTTTAACTCCTCTTTTCTCTTGAAGAAGCAAACATTAAATTCCAAACTGTAATGAGTTTAATACGAGTACAGAATAGTGTATACTGAGAAAACTGATTTAATACATATGCATCCAGCCTTTGTTTGAAGTTTTTCAAGTCTTTCGTAAGCAACTGCAGATACGGTATCCTATACAAATTTAAATACCGTATTGAAGAAGGCTACAAATGAAACACTCAAATAACTACAAAGTCATTCAAGATTTTATTACAGTTTCACTTTACAGAGAACTGCAATTTCTTTGAAATCCTATTTTTTTTTTTTTTTTTTTTTTAAAAAAAATAATATTGTCAAGGTAAAATGTGTAGCACTCAAATTTCACAAAAATGAGCTATTTCAAACATTGTTTTCAGTTGATAAATATAGTTTTATCGGTGAACACTATTGTTTACAAATCAATTATTATACATGTAGTATACACTTTGCAAACAACAGTTTATAACAATAAACCTATTTTATCAACAGTTAAACTATATTCCGCTCATTTTTGTGAATTTGCGTGCTTTGCCGAAATTCAAAAATGTTACTACAGATGACAGTGACTATGGAATGAATGATTTACCGAATGTCATGATAAAAAATAAGGTGTTATAGTCGATTATATTATTTTCATAACTGCTGAATATCACTGTAGTACCTAGTTTTGTAAGTTTTTGACCCATTCGTTATTTATTCTAGGCCTCTGATTATTGAGTCTTCCTTAGTTCTACAAATTTTCATTTCTTTTTAAATAATAATAAACATGAATATACTAGTTTCAGTAAGTTTCGTCCATTTTGACCAATGGTGGTGGGGAGAACTTGTAGCAATTCCTCGGACTGAAATGAATTAAACAATAAAATACTTTCTTTGGTTGTTAGTACAGGAATTAATGTTGCGGCTGTTGCAGAAAGAATGCATAACCCGCGTAAGCAATTAAGCTGCAACGTTAATTCCCGTCCTACAAACAAAGAAAGACATTTTATAAATATGTTTATATTTATATCTGTACAAATAATCATATAAAGTTGGATTTAGAAGATGAACTAGTGTATTATTAATATGTACATCAATGTACGTTTTATTGATAGAACAGCCACTGCCCAAGAAATCTGTAGAGGTAATATGGTTAGCGGTGTTTGCTGACTAATGAATGGCAATGCTTTTCTTAAAAAATAAAGGAGATAATATTCAAGGGATGTAAATATTATCTTATTACAGGTTCCCGTAAAAATTTGCACTTTTTTAAAACAAAAATAAAAATCATTTTATTAAGTTTTGATTTGAACATATTTTATTGATAATATGTCGAAGGGATTGGACAAAAGTTCCAAAAACTTAGTCCTCTCCCAGACATAAAATCTGAATACATACAACATTTACAAAGTTTTACAATAATATACATGTACACAGAAGAAAAAAAAACAATTGTTTTTATAACTAACGAATATCAATTTATGATAATGATGATAATAAATACGATGTTGATATTATCAAAAATAATAATTTCTATAGAGATAATACAAATAAGCATTAATTAAAACTACCCGTATCCTAAATAAAATTTTGAACAATACCAATATATATATATATATATATATATATATATATATATATATATATATATATATATATATATATATATATATATATATATATATATATATATATATATATATATATATATATATATATATATATATATATATATATATATTGATTTTCCTGCAAAAATAAGGATTCATCTCCCCATAGCAATTTATGTACATTTATCATTTTACATTATGAATTACAAGTAATGCATTCATCATTAAACGTCTAGCTTCAAAATATTTTCTTAACACAAAGAAAAAAATATTACTATCCTCTTTCAATCCACAAGAACAATTTGGATTCGTTAAAATATTACATCTGTATATGTAAATCATAATTTAAAATACAATTGTGTCTTAATCTTGTATGTAAAATGTTCATATACTTTTTGCTATATGATAAATACTTGGGAGGCTAATCATTATTATTGTTCAATTTTCTTTTTAAAAATTTCTTTAGAAGTTATTTCTCCTGTTTCGTTACTCAATGAATTCCATTTGCGAATAAAATCGGGGACAAATGATTTGTTGAATAATTCAAGCCTGCATATTGGAAAGGAATAATTATTAGTTTTATCTTAAAAAATTAAATTTTATAAAATTAATTTTAATTAATAATTACGACCATTGTAATTAGAAATAGTGTTTCTAACCATCGGTACAATATTTTTAAGTAATCAGGAGCGCGATTATTGTGGATTTTAAACATTGTTAGAAGTATGGCTTTGTCTCGTCTTATTACAAGAGGTTCCCAACCAGTTTCAACATACAATGAGTTTCTCGATGCGAATACAGAAAGACCTGTAACTATTCTTGCAGCGGTCAGTTTGAACTTTAAGTTTATCTATATCGGTCGACGAACAATCTGACTAAACTTCAGATGCATACTCGAGTTGTGGTCGAATAAAGAAAATGTAAAGTTTGGATAAAGTATCTCTAGACACAGAAAATTTAAGTTTCTTGAGAAAATTAAGTAACCTTATCGAAGAGCTTTAAAGTATTCGGAATGCTTGTATCTATGAATTACGAGATGATATATAAATTTTATTTATTAAATTATGATAAAAATGCATAATTTCTTATTACTACAACCTTGAGCTTGTGACTATACAGATCTTGAGGCTGTCACGTGATAGCATACCGCAGAGTTTGGGTTGTTTATAAACACCGGTAATACTCCTTAGGTTCAAATATTTATTAAGCATGGCAAAGGTAAGTCAGAGTATCTTTGTTTATATCGTGGTAAAGTTTTATATTCACATATTTCATGAGGTGTTTAACATTAAATGAAGTTAATAAGTCCTTACTTTCATATGTAGATCACTTTCGGACATATAAGATTGTATGTACATTAGACATAGATCTCATCTAGATCGAACGGCAAACCATTTAATAAAAAGCATATTTAATTTGTGGTCGCGGTGTAATGTTTTGACACATTTATGCATAGCGTTTTAAAAACTGCATTAATCATTATTTCTACAATTAAAACAGATGACCAATCACTGCCTTTCGGCCATTGTCCTTGTGTTTCTACCTGTATTAGTATTCGGCCAGGTAAGTTATTCACAGTCTTGTAGATCAGTCGTGTGATGTTTATATAAAAATCAAACACGTGGCCTTGAAAACACGTGGGGCGTCAGTTTGTTTTGTGCATGGAACGACTTTTAAACTGAGTTTAAAATTAATTTCACATGTGCGACTAGACAGGATCCGCTCCCCTTAATAGATATATTTGTATATCTCGACTGCTGGATTTTTTTTTCATGAACTAATCTTTTGGTTCTCAAAACGAAGTGTTCAATATAAAAAGATATAACATAACAGTGCAAAGAAAAAAAAGTGGTAAAGAATCATAATCGTGGTGTCGTAAGACAAGAATTTTTAGTAACCTTGATATTCAGTTTTTAATAAAATATTTATTCTTATTTTGTGAGGGCGGAAAACAAATAAAAACAAATTCCTGGTCGGTGTGAAGGATCGTGGGATTGTATACAATGTGCTGATTGAGGGGGATGGGTGTAAACGAAGACCTATATTTAATATTACATAAATGGCATAATTGTCATCTCCCTCGGGAGATGACACATTAAGTTCGTTTTCCGGAAGTGAAGTCCTAGTGTAAGCTGCCATCGATAAGCTGGTGGTCTGGCAAATGACCTGACGATGACACCATTTCTAAATATAGAGATGTAAACAAAATTGAGCGTTCTGCCTTATTATTACAAAATGGTCCATCTTAAAGTAAAACTACACAGGGTTCATTAGGATAATAGAGGTTGGATTGCTGGGGTGGTGGTCTTCAAAATACACATAAACATTGTATCTAGGTTATTGCGTAAAAAGTTTTCCTATTTCCCTTGGACCATCAAAGAGTGGAATGATAGTCTCGGCGAATACACCTGACACCTTTAGGTCTCAGGTGATCATCTTCTAACCATAAGTAAGAAATATTATTAATATTAACCTTTTAAAGTTTTAATTTTTGGTCATATCATGCACACCAAATTTGCCATAATAATCAGCTTGTTGATTGTGGACAATACTTGGCAGAAGCAGAAACGATGGTCAGCGCGCGGGGATCAAAATACACAAAACATGGCATACTGAATGTATCAGCTAAGGCGTGGGTCCAAGATTTACTGAGGAAAGAAAACAGTGAAAACATTCACGTTAAATGCATATATATAATGGCAAAAACTTAACTTTTATATGTACTTACTGCCGTATATGAAAAATAAAACAGAACTTATTCAAAAAAATAAATTTCGAAGAAAAGAAATATTACCTAAAAGCACAATTTAAGCAGATGTCTCTGATTTAAGTAGCTCAGTGCTGCAGGCATTGGAATAAAAATAGTAAGGAATCATTATGAGTATTTTCTCGGATGTCTTCACTATTCTTTTTTTTCTTTAAAATTACTCCTGCGGAAAAGTTTTAGGAAAAACACAATTTTCTTGACCTGGCTCAGGTTTTTTAAGGATTAATAAATAAAGCAACTTATCAATTTAATTCTTTATGCAATTCTAATTTGCATTTTTTTGTTAATGGAAAAAAGTAAAAAAAAAAAAATCACTCCTCATATTCTTGAAATAAAGCCAAAATTATAAAATGTGTGTCTCGTGAAACAGCGTATAAAATCGATGTTGGTAGATTGAGGTTCTTTTCAGTGTGCCAATACTTAATTTTAAATGGTAACTTTTCAATTTTATAACCTTTCTATGCATGCTATTTTCCCACAAGCGTATACGTGTACATGTACTTATATTATATAAACATAATATAGCGTTAACACATGAATCTGCATATTGGCAGCAGAAGGATATGATGCAGGAGTGTCTCAATGTTTTCCTTGATATTCCCAGTGGCTCGATAGCCAAGTCACTTCGGAGGATACGTTTAAAATAAGGAAAATCTTTGGAAATTATAATTGAGGTTCGGATTAATTTAAGTTAGCGCTTTAAAACTGCTTTGCTGTTGTAGTAGGCGACTACAAACTAAAGTCAAAAGAAACGCTAAGGTTTTATCCAACTTCATACGGAACAATTGTTTTATATCTAATTTTTACGAATATTTCTCAGTGGTTAGATTTTTTTTACAGACATTGTACAAAAAATATTCAAAATGAATAAAGCATAATTACAACAAGTAAAATAATATAGGCATGTAGCAACAGGAGGGTCGTCCCCCTTCCATGTTTTTCCCAAACATTAAAAATATTCATTCAAAGGCGCGTCCTTGCCCCATCTTCCATCTTTTGTTGCAGTATGGTACGTCAAATCATCCCATGGGAATGTACTATAATACAAAATATGTTTGTTGGAAAAGTTTTAATCCTCCCTTTCAAGAAATGAAAATGTGGAGTTTGGACAGCCCCTTTTTCCCCTTGTCAAAGATTGTTCAGATAAGTCGTCGATTTCCCCCCCCCCCTTTTTTTCAAAAGCGATACTACTGCATGTAATAGCTGAAAAAATAATGTAACATTCCACTGTTTATTCTGTGACATTCATGAAGCCAAAGAGATGACATTTATGGCTTTCTGGAAAGCCAAACTTGTATTATTATTCTTTTTGACCGAAAATATATGTCAGTATCCTCAATAAACATTAGACATAAATATAAAAGGACATTAGCGAAAGTGGACATAAACGTCCGGGATTGCTCTCAGGTAATTATAACAATGACAATACTTCTCATAAAGCTATAAATTCTCATTAATAGAACACATGCACTGAAATCAAACGTAATAAGTAATAAAAAAAAAAGGTTTAAAGAAGTGTAGATTAACAATTATCCATAATATAAAAATTGATATGAGAAATTTAGAGTATAATTCAAACCCTACGAAGTTATTATTATTTTTTTTTTTTTACTTATTTTTGCTTTGTACTATGACCGATTTATTAAAAATGCTTTTATCTACTAGAAGGCAAGGTTACCTAGCACATCAAAAATTATGAATCTATATTATTTTTAAAACTACTTACACACTTGAATCGTATATCATATGTATATTATCAAAACAGAAAAGATCAGCTTTTGCCCAATTCAGATATGGACCTCTACCAATCCGTATCGAAACTAGACGTTTCCTTAATGAACAAATATGTGACTGACTCTGTACATGTATTGAAGATGAAAACAATTTTTTTTATATTGCGCTTTGTATAATATTCTAAGACAGAAATATTTTTATATAGTTTATCCTGAACATTTTCTTCATAATCAATATTTATTTGTTTCATTAATGTAAAAAGGTGAAAATAACGAACAGTAATCCATTACAAAAAAATCTATAAACAATACAAAAATGTGAAGAGGGCATAAATACGGACCCCTGAAATTTCGGAGGTGGGATGAGGTACCTCGGAAGAGAGGAGGAGTACATTCCCCTGTTGACTGGTCACACGCGCCATGAGCCCTGTTTATTGATCAGGTAGACGCAACTTTCCGCAGTCAAGTTCAGTATGGAAACAGAGGCCTAACAATTGGTATGGAGTCAGCCAAAATACGATCCAATGATAGATTATATTTGCTAACAAGGTCATTATGACGAGCATGGAATTTACGAAATGCCGACTTAAAACGAGGTTGTTGATATCCCTGTAACATCAACTTATCAGTGAGTAGCATGCCTCGTTTTAAGAATTGATCCTACTCAGAGCAAGTTCTTGTGTAGCGAATAAATTGGGAGACATAAACATCGTTAGCTGATGATAGATGAGTATTACTACATTAATTAGGAAAGTTGACGATACAAAAGCTGACGCCATAATTTATGATTACCCCTTACAAACTTCCAGATTTAAAAACTCTAACTACAACTTAGGGAAAAAACATCTCCAAAAGTAAATTTGTTTAAAAATTGTATATCAGAAATGCTATTCATTATTGTCCATAAGTAAATTTATATTTAGATATTCAAACGCATGTAGGAATTTTAAAAATTATCTAGTGACTTATAGGTCCTACGGGCCGAATGCAGATTGTTAATATTTATATTATTGTATCTTAAATGTCATGTATGCACAATATGTCGCTATATTAAACAATTACTTACTAACCTACTAACTAGCATTGAAAAGACGTTTTTTGTTTTGATCCAGATAATGGTAAACTCAGTGAATGTATAAGATACCTATACTTTCAACTTCAAGAATTATATGATAAAAAAATATGATGATTTTGAAATGATCATAAAGAAAGTTCAGGACTTTTGAGAAATGTACATTTCTTCTCCGATTTTTAAAAACGTTCAATATAGATGATTATAATGCTGGAGAAATTGAGAAATTTAGAATTGGTTATTAAATGCAAGCAAAAAGACGTACATAAAACTGGACTCTATTGGGAATTTTAAACCATATACATGTATAGAAGTAGTTTCTAACGAGGAGTGGATCCGTGTAAATGCAATATGTTTTTCTAGTTATTCTTATTTACAGACCAAGACGTGGTTATTTGCAGTAAGTGGAAATAGGCGACCCTGGAATTTCATGTAAGAATTATAGATATTAATTGTAAATGAAATTGGAGAAATAATTCAAAGAATTAGGATTTAACAACAACACCACCAATATCAGAATTACTCCTAAGACTTCACACTTTACTGAAAACAGTATCAGAACTTATGAAGCATCATATTATAAAATGGAAAGGAAAATTAAATGAATAGAGTCAAGCTTTAAATGATGGATTTCTTTTTTCAAGTGACAGCGATGGGGTGTTGAAAGGGGCGGATCTAGATCTGATACAGGCAGGTAATGCGGATTCTAGTCCATGAAAAATATCTGCTTCATATAAAATGTATATTTTACTAGTAATTATTCATTATTAATTATTAATAATTATTAAAATCCCCTGTGGTTACATCTGAGTAGCTATTTGATTTCAATAACCATAATTAATCAAGTTACATGCTTGATGATTCAACTTACTGTTTCCTTCTAGTATGTTCAATTGCCAACCAGAAATGCGCCACGACCTTAGCTCCTACAGAAGCCTGTGTGCAGACAATTCGTGGTCGGTTTTACCCAGGAGAAGGTAAAAGGTTAAAGTTTAGATAAAATATGCAAGAAGAGATAAAAGAAAATTATGTTGTTCAATTCCAATTTCTTGCATGTACAGTATTGTGCCATTAGTGATCGTCCAAAGTCGCGTGCATTGCGTATTTTTTATGTTTTAGCACAACTTTAGCTGCATACTAAAAATAAACAAAGGTACTGTTGTCGGTGAAAATGACGCTATTTTAAGAATGTCCTCATGACTATCACGTGACAAATTTACACGTCACAAATTCTCGTCTGCTGCGTATATATTGTCAATGTAAACAATATGGCTTCTGCTCGGAAAGAGTTAAGTAAAGATGTCAAAGAAGTGGTTGTTTCTTTGTATCAAGCGGGACTGAAACAGCAAGAAATATCTCGTAGATTGGGAATACCCCGAACAACAATAACATCGGTGATAGATCGTTTTCGGAAGCGAGGTTATATAGAAAATATACCAAGAAAAGGGAGACAAGCAAAACTGGATGACAGAGATGCACGACAGCTTTTGCGGTCAGTAAAAGAAAACAGAAAACGAAGTTTGTCCGATATCACTGCCATATTTAACCAACATAGAGCTTTTACTGTTTCAAAACGAACTGTGCAGAGAACTTTATATAAGCAGGGATATTTTAGGAGAATAGTAAGAAAACGAATCAGAATTCGTGAAGTCAATCGTAAAGCTCGGCTTTCTTGGTGCAGAGGCAACCGTTACAAAACTGTCGACAATTACTGGCAGAGAGTAATATTCAGTGATGAATGTAAAGTAGACATTGGATCTGATAGTCGCGTATTTATCTGGAGAAAGGTCGGCGAGGACTGGCTACCCTGTTGTTTATCGCAGCCTCCAACGCCTAAGTTCAGTTTGATGGTATGGGGATGTGTAACCTTTAATGGTGTAGGCACACTAACTGTCGTAGATGGCAATATAAATGCCCAAAAATATATTGATATCATTGATGAACACTTGTGGCCGGTTATTGTGCGTCATTTTCCTCAGAATAATTGCATCTTCCAAGACGATAATGCACCCATACATAGAGCCCGTTTAGTGCAAGAATTCAAGGTACAAAATAATATTCACTCTATGTTCTGGCCAGCTCAGAGTCCCGATTTAAACATTATAGAGAACGTATGGCTCAGAATCAAAAGAGAACTGAAAAATGGCGACAGAATTATCACCTCCAAAAATGAACTGGAGACAGCCATTAGACGAGTGTGGACAAATATCCCGGTTGACTACATTCAGTCTTTACAAGTCGATCCCCCGAAGAATACAAAGAGTATTACGATCAAAAGGCTACATAACAAAATACTAAGGTAAGAAAATGAATTATTTATTTTTTTATTCCAAGTTTTCCTAACCAGTCGAGTTGCGCAATAGCGGCGGCCATTTTGAATTTGGACGATCACTAATGGCACAATACTGTATTGACTAGCTCTCAGCACAAGCCAAGGGACATTGGAAGGTGAAATGTACTCTAAAATCAGGTTACTGGAAGAGGCCATCTTTAGTGATTAAACCAATTCAATTCCCCAAAAGAATTGAAAAAAACATCTCATTTAAAAATGTTATTCCTTATTGGATGTACCTGCATGAATGTCAATCTCCGAATGTATTTAATACCCTCATTTATGGTATATTACAAAATTCTAGAGAATATTGGAATTTTTGGCGTTTTTTTTTTTCAGAATAAATATGTATAAGGTACCGAGTTTGACTTTTTGAATTGAAATTCAACAACACATTTCTTTCTAATTGTCATAACTGTTATTGCATCACATGAATTAAGATATCAAATCCATAAATATTTTTAAAGGCCTGTTCATGCGACGAGCTTTACTCATATTGCAAATATGGAAATTTGATATGTCTAATCATACTCACGTAAGCATATCTTGCTGTATAAACGCTATGGCATATATGCAAAAAATACTCATGCAATCAAATTTACACCTGCCCAGGGTCAGGCGCAAATCTGTTTACACATATGCAAAAGTAAATATTGTGTGCTAAGAGGCTCATCTGTAATGTTTCTTGAAGAAGATACACGTAGCTTTTCACTAAATCTTCTACAGATGAAACGATTGGTCTCTTTCTTCATTCTTGAATTTTGCAACCATTTTTCTTTCTTTCTTTTTTTTTCTTAAAAAAATCATTTTGGAAGAGTGCTTGATTGTGGTTTTCTTCTAATTTTGCACTCAATGAAGAACCATTCCGTAGTCACATTGCTAAATACATGTATATATAAAAGAATTCCCTTCTCCAATATGGAGGCATTTTTATGAAAATAATGACAAATTACTTATAGAATAGAAGATTGCATATTGATGTACTTACAGTATATAAAATCACACGAGAACGTTTACTTCTGCCAACAGTAGCAAATTTGCTCATGAATAAATATATTCATGAGTAAATTTCTCGCCGTATGAATAAGGTATTAGATATCTGATGATAAGCAAATAAGAGAACATCTAAGTCTTAAAATTGTCAATGACACCTTTTTACACATTAAAACGTGCTTTCACTATCTACACTAGGTCTGATGGAGCGATGGTTCGATGCCTGTACCGGATATGTGAGTTCAGTGGACCGTGTCAATGCGTTACAGTTTACTAATGCAATACGGACCACCACCTCAACATTCACGGTTCTGAAGGGAAATCCTAAAAAGTTTGATCCACAGAATTTAAAGAATGCTGTGATAGGTAAGTAGATCATTTATACAAATTCTTATTTCTATATGAAGTTTCAATAAAAACATAAGGAGGGTATGTATAATTTTCGTAAACATACATTAGATATTATCTTACTTTTTTCATTCCAGTATGAATCAAAATTCTTATAGCGGTCAATAAAGTAAGAATTCTGAAGACTCTATAAGCAAATTTGTTTGACTGTTTGTAAAGTCAAGTTTAAAAAAAAAACGCTAGGACAACCTTGCCATTTGTCAGGGAGGAAAACATATATAAGTATAATCTCTAGAATATGCGATGTTTTCTGTCTACATGATCAAAATATAGGGCTCACGGCGGGTGTGACCGGTGAACAGGGGAGGCTAACTTCGCCATGGTACCCGAAGCCACTACTGGGATTTAAAGGGGTCCATGTTAATGCCCTGTTCACAGACTTGTAATGTTTGTAGTTTTAATGAAATCGATCACTGTTCCTTATCTTCACCACTTTGCATTTTCATGCATCAAATTAAAATTTGCAACATAATCAAAGTTACTGTAATATTTATCAAATATTTACATCTTCTGAATATTATCTCCTTTATTACGAAAGAAAACCACGGTCGTTTATCAAGAGATTTCATGAGCAGCGGCTCCTCCATCAACATGCAATGTCGTTACATATTTAAAACCACTACATTTAGGGTACTTATTCCTACATTTATAAGTATTTATACTGATGTAAACAAAACTGACCTTTTTGTTAGTATGTAAATGAATGTTGCAGCTATTGCAGATAAAAATTACATGACACCGCTGTAAGCGAGGTCTATATTTTTTCTTCAAAAGCAAAAGGATTTACAGAGGACTGTGTTTTCTGAATTCTTTTGGTACAATTTGATAATTTTTCTAATTTTAGTACACTTGAATGGAGCTTTTACAAATGAACAGTGTACAATTAGGATTGGCTTAGGAAAGCCGAAGCAAGTCATAGTAGCTTCTGGAATAGTAGAGGCAAAAGAACTCCTTCTTAATCAAACTGTAAGTATTTTAAAAATGAATAAGGCATTTTCTTAAATATGTTAAAGATATTCAAATGTGAAATGCTTGTTAGTTTTTAAAAATTGGCTAAGAATTTAATGGAAGACAAAATTTCATAGCTTTGTTTTAGTTCTTTTTTTTTCTTTTTTTTTTTTTTTTCTTTTTTTTTTTTCTTTTTTTTTTTAATTTTAAGTATCAGAATTCAATACAAGTTAACCAAAACTGGCATGAATTTTGAAATTATAAACTGATAAATGTCAAAAGTACTTCAATATACAATGAAAAAAAAAAATCGTGGCGTTTTGTCAAATTATCAGATGAGAAAAGAAAAGGTGCTTCTTTGAATAAATAACTCTTGAATATCACATGTTCCAGGCGGATGCGTTATTCTCCCCTCGTACAAACTTTAATGATCTGGAGGTTCTACCTGGACGGTACAGGTGTGACATCAGCGGAGTAGGTATGATGGTGAGGAAAGACAGTGACCTCCCCTCGTGGTGGAACACAGCATTCGAAGAGTATTATTTGTCAGGTGCATACAACAATGCATGTGACCAGATCAACCAAAAATATGGAGGTATTTCTTTCGTTATTATATTTTATGCCAACTTTAATCATGGCTTTTAAACTTTGAATACTATGCATTTAAAATGAAATAATAATGAATTATTTATATCTACAAAAACTTTGAGTGGACATAAGTTTGTCAATAAGGTAATATTATCAAATATCACTAAATAATTTATACACAATACAATTCATTTATGTAATTTTTTTGCCTTTTTTAGACAAACAGAGCTAAGGGCTCATGAGTTTTTCTGATCACATGTTGTTTTGCGTTCGTCTGTCTGCCATCTGTAACCATTTTAACGTTGTTATCTTCGAATTCTTCTCAACAATCAATGGGTCAATTTCCACCAAACTTGTTGCAAAGCATTTTTGAGTAATGGGGATCTCTGGACCAGAGACCTCTATTCAAGTTTGTTCAAATTATGGCTCATGTAATTTCTAACGAAGTTTGACTTTGGAATATTTATAAATTTTCAAGAAAAATATCTTTCTCTGTAGAACAGCATGGTCATGATCAGTTACATTGTATATGAATATGAAAGTATCCTATGGTAGGTGTAGTTTCAATTTTGTTGAAATCATGGCCCCAAGAAGGTAGGATGCGGTCACATATCAGGATTGAAAGTTAAACATGGGAATATTTAAAAAGTAATCAAAATCTTCCTATTTAGGAACAGAGGGACCATGGTTAGCAATATTAAAATGCTCAGGTAGTGCAGGTTTGTTCAAATATGGCCCCAAGGAAAACAATAGGCGACAATAGAGATATATATTTTACATGGAGATAAATAAGATACATATGTTTTTTTTTTTTGTAAAGAAAAACAGAACCACGACCAATGACATTAATATTTAACCGTTCTCAAGCGATGAAGATTTAGTTTTGTTCAAATCATGCCTCTCAGGGGAAAAGTAGAGATGCAATAAATTAAGGATAAAAAAAAGTTTATATAGGTATATATATATGTAAAATGTTTTACAGAATCATTTTCAAGAAAGCAGGGGCCATGATTAGGGATATTGAAATACAAGAATTCTTTCTGAAGTGGTTTGAATTCGGTTTTGTTCAAATAATGGCCTCAAAGATAGGGTGAGAACACAATAAAAGATAAAAGTTTTAAATATAAATGCAGGCCCGTAGGAAGCGATTTCAGTTTGAGGGGCACAGCCATAAATGTTTAGTTGAGGGGGCAGTATCAAACAAATTTCCTTGACAAGCAAAAAAAAAAAAAGTCATCAGACGTTTTTATTGTGGGGGTACAAGCATATAGCAGCTATGTTGCTATGTTTTCTATAGTAATCTATATATCGGCAAAATTATTGGGGGCACCCCCCCCCGTCCCCGGTTCCTACGGCCATGAAATATACAGGATAATATATAAAATCCTCTCTTCAAGAACAATAGCGACACAATTTGGAATATCGAATAGTGTAGATCCATGTTTGCTCAAATGATGGACTATGGGATAGGATAGGGGTCATAATGTGGGATTTATGTCTTAAAAGGAAATTGAAAAAGTAAAATGGAAGTAATAGAGGGCCACGATAAAAAAAATTTTATTAACAAAGTTAAGAGTCATACGAATTATTTAAAAAAAAAAATCCTCAGAAGATATTACTAGTGATTCAGGTTACATAATTTCATTACCCCCTGGAGCTAGATAGAGGAAAGAGATTTTCATATGAATAGTATTGAAAAATTTTCAAAACGTTTTGATTAACAGGAAGGCCATGATGCTTAGGAGAGCGATGCCCATAGTTAAATGGTAAACATGGGTGTTAAATGTACATTGTCAATTGAGGCAGAATTTATAAAAAAAGACATGATATTAAAAACATTCGAAGGATTTTTGACACTGCGATGGCTAACTGAATTGAAATAGAAAAATATTTGTTGACTAATTATTAAAAGCAATCGTTTGCCTTCTAACACGTTTTCTCTTGTATACATTCACTTTAACTCTTTTAAGATATTCTGGACCAAGGTTATAACATAAAAAGGCCGATTCATTCCATTCAATTATTGGCGTAAGGTTTCCTGTAGAACTGCTTTCCTATAGGACTGCTAGAAGATTGTTATAAGCATAAACTTATATATTAGAGAGGTTTAGCAATGTTCACTTGAACGTGTTCTAATACGCATAGACGTGTAAACTACAAATTAGGATAACAAGTACACGTTTACATTATTTTTATTGTTTAGCAAAGGATACATGTACTTAAATGTAGAAGTCCTTATCAAAAAAAAAACCTTTAGAAAGGACACGAAATGCATTATGTATATCACTGTTCTTATGAATAAATGCATATATTTATAAGAAATAGTTCTAAAAGAGCTCATAATTTTAATCCGACAAAGCCTATATTTAAAATCTAGATGTTGTGTATTTAACACTCTGTATAATTTTTTTTTCATTCATAGACACTTAGTTCTTGATATCAGATATTTGAATAAAATCTCCAGGTTTTAGAAAAACAAACAATTTTATTGAAATCAACAGTGGATAAGGAAACATAAGCTACAAGTTTGGACTTAATCGTACTTGGATTTTTATACATAAGTGGATACGTGAAGATATTTGTCAGTAGAAAAACAGGTGACGTAATGCACGGATTTCAGGGGAACACGTACGTGTTGGTTTGCTAAATAAACCTCTCTATAATTTGCAACTTATAAAGCCTCTCAGTTGAATCGATACGCAAAAGCATGCTCTATGTATGAACAATTTCTAAAACGAGGCAAGCTTTTGACAAACGAGTTGATGAAACAAGGATATCGACAGTCTCGTTTGGAGTCATCATTTCGCAAGTTCTCTTTTCGATGTAATGATCTTTTCAGCAAATACAAGCTTTCATTAAGGCAAATTCTGAATGACGTTTTTTCATTCTAATTGTTAGGCCGTTAGAATTGTCTACGTATTTTCCCTTTTCCCATGACAAGGAGCACACGGCGTGTATGACCGGTTGACAGGGGATGCTAACTCCTCCATGGCACCTGATCCCACCTCTGATGTTTTAGAGGTCCGTGTTTGCTCTGCTCCTGATCTGTATTGTTTGAATGGACTTTGAGCTTGAATACTGTTCGTTATGTCCATATATTTCCTTCAACACGATAAAGACACAGACCATATTTTATTCAAAAACTATAAAAGGATATCAAGTAATTTGAAAAGTGTTTCAACATGTTAAAAATGCATAGTCGCCCGTGTAAAACAGTGGTTACAGAGTTTGCTCTAGAGTAGCGGAGTGAAGAGTTGATCCATACTTTTCAGATTCGAATCCCACTGCCAGTAGTGGAGACCGGTCATTCGGATGAGACCATATATACTGAGGTCCCGTGAACGTGCAGTGCCACTATTACTAGTCATGAGAGAGAGAGAGAGAGAGAGAGAGAGAGAGAGAGAGAGAGAGAGAGAGAGAGAGACTAACATTCAACTTAAAAAAATCGTTGGGTTATGACTTGTGTTCTCTTTTTGTAGGATTTCCTGTAAAGAATTGCTTACCTCGACCACCTGCAGGAAAACAGCGAGTTGGAAGCACCGGAAGTGGCCAAATTAAAAAGAGAAAGAACCATTTCGTAGTATATTTCCGTCGTAATAATAAGTAGAGTTAGTATAAAATAAAATAAACGAAATAAAAAGAGAAGACAATTTTCAAGCAAAACATGTCAAAGCTTCACGCTGGACGGTGATTTAAGATACTCATGTTGTTAAAAATTATTTTTGTCTTTTGATATTATAAGTGGAAAGTATGGGCACGTAAACGTGCTAATTGCATAATTTGCAAATAATATCAAAGAAGAGTGCGCTTTCATGATTAACATTTACACTTTAAAAGAAATATTTAAGGCCCATTCTGCATAAAACTGATATAAATACGATTTCTTTTATAAACTAGTGTGTTAATAATTTATCGAAATTTTAAAGATATATGAAATGACTTTTTTTTTTGGTTGTCTTGAATATTTTAAAATATGTATTTACATTTCTATGACCTGGAAAAAAGATCCATATATGTTTATTTATAATACGGTGATCTCGTACATTATTTATTGTGTTATCATTCTTTTTCAGGGGATCATACTTCTTGCAATTCTTGTTCTCTTGTAAAGAAAAAAACCTTGATTGGATTCTTTTTGTTTGTTTGTCGTGTTAATTTTAGTAGTAACTTCAGCTTCCAGTTTTATCAAACAACAATGTTGATTGCCATCATTTTAAATTATGAATCTCCCTTTTAAACATTTTACATATGTTTAAAGAAAATATTTGAACCATGTAGAAATATTTCACCAGAAAAATTAAATTTAATTTGTTGTCATAATGGAAATAAAAATGCACAAATTACAGGATGAATATTTGTGATTGTGAATGACTTATCATTATAATAAAAACAAATCATTATAAATAAGAATCTGATAACTTTATCAAATTCATCAATTCTTAAATTATCAGCTAATATACTGTATATCTCTTCCTATAGTTTGAACAAAATATTTGTGGTGAATGGCATAACTGCTAAGTATGATAGATTTAAGAAAAGTTTTTCTGATTTTATTTTCAAATTAGTTGTAGTTATACAACTTTTTCTATTTGCATCAGCACTAACTTCAAGTATCGCATCAAAACTAAGTCAAAATCCAAAGATTTGTAAACTCTATTGATTCGACGTCTCAAAACATTTTTTTTTAAATGCAAGAATCGCTACAAATCCTAGATTAAAATATACTTCTTTATATTGATTTTTATATTCTATTTATGCTTGAGCTTTTGTCAAAGTCTTTGACTAGCTTCAAGTCTTTTGTGACAGCATGTTTTAAGGACACTTCCTGTCAGTGAAAATTTCAGTTTGATTTTTAAGTTACTTGCTTCAATCAGTGATTAGATTAATTACCATCATGCTTTAAATCATATTTATAAAAACATATGCATACATGTTAATTTCTTGCCTAGCAGAGAAGGATAAAGTGAAATGGTACAAAACTTCGCACTTGAAAATGTTCAGTAAGTGAAAGCAACATTGTTATTAGATGGATCCGTATGCCATATTTTCAAATGAGAATTTTTAAATGCTTTGATTTACACACACCATTTTGCAATGAATAATCGGCATCAATTTTTCTAAGAGCGACACTATTTGAAAGCAAGGATTAATTTTAAAATTCTTGATATATATCAGACTTTTGTGGATGGAACTTTACGCATATTAGTGAATGGAATGAAAAAGTGGAATAAAAAGGATTTCAATCGTCATAGGGCACAAAAATGTTCAAATCAGTTTGAGTTTAGAGTTTGATTGTTTGTATAAATATATACACACCAATATATATCACACTAAACTTAAAAAAAATCCTTATATTTGCATTGTACATGTTCAAGAGCACCAAAAGTATACTCTGTGTTGGAATTATTTGCTGCCATATATAGTTACATTTTTATTAACGTGTCTATATCTATTGTGACTTCACTTTAGCGCGAGTTTCTACGTGCATATTATACACAAATATGGCATTCACGATCGATTTCACAGTTTGTCTAATAAAAAAAGCACAGCAAATGTTAATTTATAAGATTAATATTTAGGATTTAGAATCATATTTGTTTTTTAAAAGAATTGAACCCGAGCCTCCCAATCACGAACGCTTCAGCAGAGTTATTTCAATGGTAATATTGATTTATTTATACAACGATACAATATTACAGGTGCTGGTAGCATATATCTTCATTCATACACACGCAAACTCTACACAGTTAAGGCTACGTACTTTGTAAGTACGTACTGGTCCCTGGTGACAAAGCAGGTAACAACATTGTCTTTTTTTGTAAGGCTGATTATATTAAATGTATTTTAGAGGAACTTGGATTTAGTTCTACAAGGGGTAATCCAACTTTTACTCATAGTTCCCTTTCTAAGGAAGATATTCTTCAAAACAACCAAAATTAATTTGAATTACCATATCTATATTGGATTCCGAAACTTCATAAAAATCCTTACAAACAAAGATACATAGCGGGTTCCAGTAAATGTTCTACCAAGCCTCTTTCTTTACTCCTCACTAAGATATTAACAGTATTGAAGGAGAAACTTCAAGAGTACTGTGCAACAATATATTTGAGAAGTGGTGTAAATCAGATGTGGATACTTGAAAATTCCAAGGAGCTTTTGGAAAATTTGAAATCACAAGATTTTACCAAAATCATTAGCTCAAAAACCTACGACTTTTCTACTTTATACACAACCATTCCCCATCATAAATTAAAGACCAGGCTTTTTGATATCATTGACAGCTGTTTTTTCAATAAAAATGGAACTTGTAAATTTACTTACCTTGTCATTGGTCATTTGAAAAATTATTTAGTTAAAAACATTCTGGTTGTACACACAAGTACTCTGAAGTTGACATTAAAAAAATGCTTGAGTTTCTGATTGACAATATCTATGTAGTTTTTGGAGACCAGGTCTTCCAACAATCTATTGGAATTCCCATAGGTACCAATTGCGCCCCGTTATTAGCGGACCTTTTTTTGTATTCATATGAAGCAGAATTTGTCCAAAATCTTATACGTGAAAAGAAGAAAACACTTGCTGTGGCCCTCAACTCGACATTTAGATATATCGACGATGTATTGTCAGTTAACAGTGGTTATTTCCATTCTTATGTCGATACGATATATCTTGGTGAGCTTGAGATAAAAGATACCACAGAGTCTGACACATCTGTTTCATATTTGGATATTTTATTTGAAAAAGATGTTAATGGTAATTAAACAATCGAGCTTTATGATAAACGTGAAAACTTTAACTTTTTCATCAACTTCCCTTACTTATGCAGCAATATACCTTCATCACCTGCATACGGGATTTATATCTCTCAGTTGATTCGATACGCAAGAGCATGAAATTTCTAAAACGAGGTAAATTATTGACAAGAATTTCAGCAGTCTCGTTTAATGTCATCATTTCGTAAGTTCTATGGTCGATACAATGACCTTGTCAGCAAATACAATTTATCATTGAGTCAAATGCTGACTGACGTTTTTCATACTAATTAATAGGCCATTATTTACATACTGAATTGTCGACGGATTTTCCCTTATTTCCCGATCATGACAAGGAGCACACGGCGGGTGTGACCGGTCGGCAAGGGATGCTCACTCCTCCATGGCACCTGATCCCACCTCTGATATTTTGGAGGTCCGTGTTTGCTCTGCTCCTATTTTGTATTGTTTAATGGACTTTTGAGCTTGAATACTGTTCGTTATTTTATTTTATATACCGGAAATATTAACTATGCATCGCAAAAAATATAAATACTTCAAATTACTGACAATGAAATGAATTGCAATTTTATCAAACTGTGGGATAGCTTTACACTTTATCACAACTTACTATTGCAAGAGGTTTATCGTTAGTTTAATCCCGGCAAGATATAAACAAATCATTGCTCGCAATGTGCTAGTCAATATCGTAAGATTTGACGCAGTTTGTATGTATGCATGTTTGTATCCTTTTTGTTGCCAAAACTGTGCTGTGTAGAGTTTGCGTGTGTATTAATGAAGACACATGCTAACAGCACTAGTCTTGTAATATTGTATCGTTGTATCAATAAATCAATATTACAATTGAAATAACTCTGCTTAATTCTCTTATTTTCTAAAATAAGATATTCACCGGTCACGTTAGCCTTGTGGTAGGGCTTTCTCTTCTCGATCGGAGGGCCCGGGTTCTATTCTCGTTCGCCGCGCCGAGTCAAGACCTATGACGTAAATATAGGTATTGACTGTTCCTTCGCCATGCGCCCCGGAATTACAGGTTTTTCGGATAAGACCTTTAAGACCCAGATCCCGTGTCACGGTAGGCGTCGGCACGATAAAGAACTCTCACTGCTCAATTGCCCTGAGTGCCGAGTATAGGTCTAAATTTAAAGCCCTTCACGGGTATATGGTGACGTCTCTATATAAGTGAAAAAAATTTTGAATGGGACGTAAAACAATATACAATCAATCAATCAATCAATCTAAATGTATTAAATCTTTCACTTTCCATATTTCATTGTCAATGCACTGCATGATCATTGCTAAGTCCTGCACCAATGAAGTGATAAGAACAAAAATATTACCAATAACGATTAATAATTATATAATAATTATAACGATTACCATTATAAGCTTTTTTAAGACAGGAAAAGTCCGTTCACTGATACATATTTTTCAAATGATTGTTATAATTTTTTTCTAATCACAAATATGATTTAAAATCTTAAATATTTATCTCATATAGTAATCAAAATAGGTGCAGAAACTAATACAATGAACAGAATATGTGGAGAAAAATTGCTCAAGAACATTTAATACCTTTGTTACAACGCACTTTGAAAAACTACGCACTTTGAAATCTTTTTTCCAAAGTGTGTTAAATGTGGAACGAAGTTAACGCACTTTGGGGAAAAAAAATTCTTTTCAATGTGCTGTAATATCAACCAAATTACGCAACCAAATCATTTTTTTTTAAGAAAAATGAGCATGGCTTGGTCAATATTCTTGCAAAATTTAGGTATGATAAATTAGTATTTGAATGTGGTTGGATAACCTTTTGGTGAAAACGTCACTTCAGGATCTGAGATATAGACGTTTTTAAGATTTTTAGGTGTTGTCTTGTTCGTAAAAGGGAAATGGGTCTTTAAGAATTGATGGAGGAATGATTGTTTAATAACACAATTTCGTTTCTTTTTTGATTTTATCCTAATAAGTTCGGTAGATGTAGGGGTCGATAAGTGACATAAAGCATCGCATTTTTCTTATAGGGGAAAGGGAGCAATTATGAAAATCCTCTCTCTCTCTCTAATCTATCTATCAATATATTGTGTTCATCTATCTATCTTGTGAACATATATGACTCATTTATTTGATCGTAAGAAAAATAACCTTAGCCACATTATTCACACGACTGAAACTTTTACCACGTTCACTAATAACTAGTCTTATTGACAGAAGTTATGTAGTCAGATTACTTTTAATCTGTAATTTGATATTTATGGACTTTTAATTTTTTTGTATTGTATTTGATTTTGTAAAGCTACTTTGGCTAAAGCACAGTCAGTTGGCTATTGTTGCTTAGTTCAGCGATATTGCACCTGAGCCTCTCTTCTTTAATATATAGGGTGTTTTATCTTTTATATTAACTCAAATTTTATTGAAAGTATATCAATGCCATACCAGTTATGTAAATACATATATTTGGGTAGGAAAGATAAAGAGTTGGGCTGAGTGACCCTCTACCTGTCTTGTCCTCGTTCTCGATGAATGTAGATGAATTCAACAGTTTTTTGAAAGAAATATAACAAAATAATGCTGTCTATTACTAAAATCTAAGTCCAGAAGTTGTGTTTTATGCATATCTTTTGTAAGTGTCCGAGTGATAAAAAATGTTGATATACACTCTTAACGAACTTGGTTTTTTTTTTTAAGTGCATTGATTTTGTCCAAATTTGAATGCACTTTGAAACATTTTTTCATTATGCGTCACCACACACCTTCTTATAGGAAAACGTACACCAACTTAATATTCAAATGTTTAATTTGTAAATATTGTAATAAACACGTCAATATACTCAAATTACCATTTAATTGCTACTAAAATGGTATATATAGAGGGACAGTGCCTAAAAATTCTACATCAGGAATTATTCTAAATCTTACATCAAATATTTTGGTATTTGCTATATATTTATAATTTATTAAATTAGTGTTGTCAATCTTTTATTAAAAAGGAAGTTTTTTTTACTTTAATGTCTTTGAATAGCTTAATTATGCTGAAGACAACACTCATCGTTGTATGGATATTGATGGAGGTACATGCAAAGCAAACATCTGATGATTTCATCGATAAATACAACAAGTACAATAAAGTTTGTAGAGAAATGGGATATGAAGCAAGGAATTGTACAGGAAGAGGGAAAGGTAACTAGTTTAACTTCACCTTTTTTCACATTGCATAAGAATTTTTACTCCCCTATTCATAAAACGTTAAACATATATCAGGGATGGAAATCTATTGAAGAATTGCTAATGGGGTACATGTATCCGCAAGACCTGCCGACCAATTAACTAATTAATGTATCAAAATGCACATTTTGGACATTTTTTCAAGTATCTCTATTGATACACACAAGAAGACTAAAAAGATATTAAAAGTTAGAAACATTCTGTATATCTTGATCAGGAAATTATTCATGTACACATATTTAATTTCGATTTCAATGGACAAGAAAAGAAAAAAAAAAGAAAACCACGAGAAACCAGACATGTATAATTTTCCAGTGCATATATCACACAAGTTCAATCTTCATTTTCACCATAATAAAAAACTTTGCCCGAACTTTTGCTTTATTTACAAAGCTTTTCTAATAATATAATTTAATAGATAACGGCAACAGATGAACATACAAATTAACATTGCTTAACAGTGATTTATTAATATCATTAGAGAATAAGAGGACAGTCGGTGTCACGACATGATGTTTTTAAAGCAGAAATTAACACTTTACAAACTGACCAATTACCCCAAGATCTCAATCGAAGAGCCATAATTACTCCCAAATCAGCTTAATGATAAGATGTGTAAAAAAAAAAAAAAAAACAAACAAAAAAAAAAAACAAAAAAAAAACAAAAAAAAAAAAAAAACAAAACAAAACAAAACAAAACAAAAAAAAACAAAACAAAAGAAAACTCTAAATTATCAACTTTTATGCAGAGGATTTTTTTTTCTAAAAATGAATTCTAAGAAAATGCGTTCAAATTACATATATTGTTTTTTTTTCCGAGTAACCGTTTACGAATTTTCTAACCGATTACTATCGTTCTGATCGATTAATCGCTTCAACGGTTACAAATTGCCATCTCTAGACTATATATGTCTATTATTTTTTCTTTTTTTAAAACAGGAATCATTGCTTTTCACTCACTCTTATCAAAAACTATGACGAACCTTAGAAAGAATACCATTGTTGTATTTGGAGCAGTAACTCTTAACTCCGGAAATGCTTATGACTCTACTACAGGAAAATTCACAGCACCTGATGATGGTATTTACTCTTTCATGTGGACAATTCTTACAAAGGGTGGGAATTATTTTAACACGAAGATAGTTCTAAATGGTAATTTTATTGGTTATAATTACGCGGATGGTGTATCAGGCAGTTCTAACTGGGCATCCGGATCTTCGTCAGCTGTTATAAAAATGAGGAAGAATGATAAGGTCTGGATATCAACCTATAGTGAAGAAAAATATGCTTATTCAGAATGGTCATCATTTTCAGGATTTAGATTGTAACAGAAAAAAAATGTTTGAAATAAAGATAATCTAAAAAAAAATATTAGTTAATATGTATGTTCCGTGAATAATTACAAATAAATGGAAGATAACTGCAATAACATGGTTGTCACAGGGTTACAAAAAGTTTTCGGAAAAAGAATACCTTTGTATGAAAGCTATTCACTTTGTAGCCAAATAACAAGATTTTTACATTTCAAATCTTTGGTTTTCATTAGAATAAAATATTACACTTTAAATAAGCAAATTTCTGTCGTAAACAATTCTTGTTTTCAACGCATTTTAAAAGATCAAAGAACGTAAAACTCTTCAAGAAAATAAAGGAATGAACCTAGCATGTCTAGTATTTGTCGGAATAAAATTGACTTAATTTTGTTACAGAATACATTACTTAAACTTTAACTCTTGAAAACCATTGTCGACTGCACCTGTAGGTTGACAATGTTTTTTGGGGGGTGAAAATTTTCAATGTTACTTTCACCTACATATACTATATATGTAATTATATTAATTTAATTTTACATCGGTTAAAGTAAAGCTTGTTCTTCCTTTTCTTAGGATTTGAATTACAATTGTTTACCCCATTTGTAAACATCATCAAAAGTTAGGGGGCAGTACAGTCATTCAGCTTTACGAAAGTGCTTACAGTGAACGCTTTTTAACGCTACCTACAATAACATTTTATACCAGTACGTTTTCACAGTTATTGTTATAGAAATTTAAATGAAATATAATACAAAATATTTACGTATGCAGTTTCACATACGATTTTCACATGACCTACTTTTACGTCAGACTTGTGATTTTGACGTCAGATTTCAAACTTCCTTGATTAAAAATCGATTGTATTCGATATTTTCATAAACTTTTTTTCAAGGTTTATAAAGCACATCGAGATCGTTGCTAAGGATGAAATCTGTTGTAATGTAAATCTTATACGGTACCAATTTTAAACACTCAGACATTTTGTATACATGGTGGATTCTTTGTTTTCACCTAGTACATACTTCAATGAACTGAAGATTCTATCTGGGCGGTACAGATGTGACATCATTGGATTTGGAATGATGGTCTAAAATCTTAAAACCCGTTGGGTTAAGATGTTTTTCTTTTGTAGGGTTTCCTGTAAGGAGTCGCTTACATCGACAAACAGCAAATTTTAAGAAGCGGATCCAATTGTGGCCAAATCGGAAAACAACAGAGCCGTTTTGCCGTGTATTTTCGTCTTAAAAATGAGAAGACTTATTGAATATATAAAAGAAAAAGGATAGAAGGAAATGGTAAATATTTTTATGCCCTTGTCATGAAATTAGGCATAAAATGTTACTGCGTTTATTCCGTCATTTCGACTTTCTTCCAGACTGTAACGCCATAATAATTGTATAAGCTTTACTTACATTTTGCCTTGCTTGCAGATTATGAGGTGCCGAATAAGTATATAACGAGCGTGTTTTATCACTGACAATTTTACCATTACGTTCTGTTGTACCTTATACATTGTTGGACACAACAAAAAATTCTAACAAAAAATTCTTACTCATTATAAAGAATTTACAGAGCATTAAATCTATTTTGATGCCTAATACATTCAAATATCGTACTTGTATACAGAGGCAGTCCTATGCGCGTTAATAAATGTATAACTCTTATGAGTAAAAAATGTTATTTTATTTGGGCTTATTTTATCACGTTTCAAACATAAACAGATTAGTCAGCAGGCATTGCTGACTATATAAGTCCTCCCCAAAAAGTGTTTTGTGTCAGATAAAAGTTATCAATGAAGATATGTAAATGGTGAAGGTAACGAACAGTGATCAAATTAACAAAAATCCATAAACAATACAAAAACGTGACGAAGGCATAAAACAAAGACAACTTGGAATTCCAGAAGTGGATCAGGTGCCAAGGAGGAGTAAGCATCTTCTGTTGACCGGTCACACACTCCGTGAGACGTATTAATAAGGTAGACGGAACTTTCCGTAGTCAAATTCAACATATAAGCTAAGGCCTGAAAATTGGTATATAACAAGTTAGCAAAAATACAACCTTATGGGTTATGTTTCTCTGTGACTGGATTATGTTGTTCAGGGACTAGGTTATGTTTCTCAGTGACTGGGTTATGTTTCTCTGTGACTTGGTATGCTATTCTGTGACTGGGTTATGTTGTTCTGTGACTGTGTTATGTTGTTCAGGGACTGGGTTCTGTTTCTCTGTGACTGGGTTATGTTGTTCAGGGACTGGGTTATGTTGTTCAGGGACTGGGTTGTATTTCTCTGTGACTGGTTTAGGTTGTTCTGTGACTGAATTATGTTGTTCTGTGACTGGATTGTGTTGTTCAGAGACTAGCTTATGCCATCATTATCAGGTAATGTTCAGTGACCAGTTTACTGTTTTCAACAAGATTACTTCTTGTAAACGTGCAGGTCAGATTTTCTCATCTGTTTAATAAAATTTTTATATGCTTTCTTTATCGGCGGGATATTTTATATCCCCCATGCCTTACTGGATCTGCCAAAGGATGATTAACAATCAAATAAGATTTTAAAATGAAATCTATTTCGTACAATATACAAACTAAGACATTTTTTCCTTTAATTAGGCCTATTATCATTACTGGGCTATATTTATATATAAGTTATAACTACTAAATATAACAATCGTTATGAAAGCCGAGCATTCGCCTGAATATTCCATCTCCAATTATAGTTGTATTGTTCGTAATAGATCAGTAGATGCCACACATAATCATAACGATAATATTTACAAATGTATATTGCATCGGAATCGAACATGTTTTTTACTAGAAAAAGCCATACCGGAAATAATTTTCCCGAAATCCGTGACTGGGTTAGGTTATAGACTCTACCGCAATATTTTAGGTAAGATTTATTCTTCCTTTTGATACACAACAACGGTAGTGCAAATATACAAATTTTACTTGATTAAAATATAAAAACTGACATACTTTTTTTCACCATTGCATCGTATATAAATAGAAAATAGTATCATTTTCTCATCGACAATTGCAACGCAGTTTCTTGTGTTTTCTGGTTTGTTTTGAAATCTCAATCAATGTTTTCTTCGAATTTTGATTTGTTTTCCTGCCTATCCAGCTAGACATTAGTCATGCCCTTGAATTTTTTTATGATGAATCTCCTATTCGTGTTCTTTCCTAAGCTATGACGAATGCATTGATTTTTTTTCTTTTCTGGAATTTAAAGATATTACACATGTTCACATGCTTTACAATATTGAGTACTCAAACATTACTCCATGATAGGCTTGGTGCAATTTTTATTTTTAGTACGTCTTTTACATACATGGATCAAAGCTGTCTATTTTACAAAGTGCTTAGATCATAAGTACGTGGGAGCTTGCTAGTGTGATTGTTAACGAACATCTGTTACCAGCAATGTTGCAGAACATAAAAAAATCCCAGAAATTTGCAATAAATGTTTAATTTACGCATGGATATTTTCCCCAATTGATTCTTTCATTTCTTTCTTGCGTTTAATGTTTCACCTGTGATTTTCACAATGTCATTGCACTGATTCAGTGGTTTCCTTTAAATAAATTTGGTGATGTAACGAAGATAAGGATGAACAGGCAATATTACTTCAATTAAATACCCTTACAAATTTAGAGAAGTTGCTGTGGGTGCTTCCGTGTGTATCTATTATGGAACATGTGGTATCAGTACTTGCAATATTTTACAGCATAACAAAAATGTATAATAAATGGATCTATTTGTACCATAAAAATAACCCATATTGTTTATTTTATTATTTTATTTTTTAAAAATCTTCCTCATTTGATTTCACATTGAAATTTAACTGATTTTGGATTACTTTTACATGGATATGGAAACAAGAAACAATGCAAGCATGAACATTGACACTAGTATGCCCTCATAGACTTTTGATATGAAAAAAAAACCTTTGTTTACTTATTCATTTTTTCTTTCTCTCTGTCCCTCTCCTGTTTGTCTGTCTCTCCCTATTGAAAATTGAGATTAACATCTTTCAGCATTTATTTTTAATACATTCATTATGAGGGATATGGTGATGACATTCCAAGAATAGTTTGGTAGTGTGCGTTGAGCTGCATTGTAAATCAATTGACATATGTAAATCAATGAAGTGATGCTATGTTATGTCATGTGATTTGAACGGTGACTGTGATTGGGTATAATTTAAAACTTTCTCCACAGGGAAAGCTTATAGCACAAACAAACTCAAATAACTGATTAAAGACCTCTACATATAACAAATTACTTAAAGGTTATTATGCTGTATTTTGTAATACTTGTGATCAAGCTAGGGTATTGTCCTAGTTTTATTTGAAACAGAATAGAGACAAACAATTTTGAGTAAGAATTGTCGTTAATTTAATGACTATAAATATACAACAAATTATAGTTAAGAGAATATCACTGGGGATAATAGCTGCAAAAATGTCCGTAGTAAAGAGTCTGATAAAATTGGCAATGGGATCTCGACTTTCGCAATGTGTGAACATTTTAGAAAGAATTGAAAATCGTCTTCCATATCCCATAATTTACAAAAAAGAAACATATCTGTCAATTCTTGGCATACCTTTCCAAAAGAGATGCATGAAGTAAATCATAATGTATATATTTTAAAGACTCATCTTCTTGTAAAGAAAATATTGGAACTATTCTTCAGCTTTAAATGCACAAAAAAGTGAAATCTTAAACGTGCTACTACCCTATCAAAATGTGTGCTTCTTCTGCACTTTTCGTTCCTGCAAACCTCTTTCCGTTTTTGTAAACCGTGCAACGATTTGTTTAAGCCTTAAGGCGTTTCGTGCAAATCATGTAGTGGAAGTACGATATAAGCGACGTGCAACCTTCGTGCAAAAACCTAGTGAGACGTACGTCTTTCGTGCAAGAATAGTGTAGGATTCAAAAAGGAGATTCAAATGTCATTTCATATAAAAAAAAAAAATGACTATCAATAGGCCAATGTGTTAAAATGTGT